GCGGCTCCGTTCGTTGTAACCTCTAAAATTCTGTTACAAGAGTTATGGCTTCTCAAGTACGACTGGGATACGCCTCTCCCTGACGAGTTACGCGAACGATGGGAGAGTTACTCCAGGGACTTGCAATCGTTAAATCTTGTTCGGATACCTCGTTGGACCGGTAAACATTGCGAGAATCTCGCGTTAGAAATACACGGGTTCGCGGACGCATCAAATCGAGCTTATGCGGGCGTAATATACATTCGCGTTATTCACGCGCCGACCAGATTTCAAATCAGCTTGTTGGCCGCTAAAACTAAAGTCGCGCCGATCAAGACCGTGAGCATCCCGCGATTAGAATTGAACGCCGTCGTCTTGCTCAGTCGCCTAATCAAATGGACCTTGACCGCCCTGGCTTTGCCCCCGATTCCCGTCTACGGATGGACGGATTCTACCATCGCCCTTGCGTGGCTTCGTCAACATCCATCTAAATGGAATACTTATGTTGCCAACCGCGTGTCGGAAGTGCAAACGACTCTGGCTTCCGCTCGCTGGAATCACGTCCCTTCAGGCGACAATCCGGCAGATTGCGCCTCGCGCGGTTTGTCTGCTTCCGAACTAGTTGTCCACCCGTTATGGTGGACTGGCCCTCGATGGCTTCATCAGCCACCGACTTCCTGGCCAACTCTTGACATTTCTACTCCGTTCGATTCTACAACCGAATTGCAAGTGTCGACGGAGAGGAAAAAATATGTGACGCTCCACGTACAAGAGTCCGCTGAGTGGGAACTTCCACGCAAGTTCTCCCGCTGGACGAAGCTCATCCGAGTAACCGCCTACGTTTACAGATTCGTACTACGAACAAGAGGAAAAGGTGATTCTCGCCACGATCTTCCCGCCTTTCTGAGCGCCGACGAGCTCAGGAAGGCGGAGATATTCTGGTTTAACTATTTACAACGGAAATTCTTCGAGCGAGAATTGCGATCATTAAAAAATAAAAGAACTCTGCCACACTCAAGCCCTCTGCGTGGACTGAATCCTTTCCTGGGAACAGACTGTTTAATCCGCCTTGGCGGGCGGTTGAAAAACTCAGCGCTCGGTTATGACGAGCGACACCCGATTATCCTTCCGAAACACCACATAACCAATCTCCTGATTGCGCAAGCTCACACCGTCACTCTCCACGGAGGAGTGCAACTGGTACTGCGCACACTGCGTCAGCGGTTTTGGCTTTTAAGCGGCCGCAACTCCGTAAAGGCGCATCTTCGGAAATGTGTCATTTGCGCGCGACACTCCGCTCGATTGTCTACTCAGTACATGGGAGACCTCCCCGCGGCTCGAGTCACTCCTTCCGCTCCGTTTACTCACTGCGGAGTGGATTACGCTGGCCCTCTCCACGTAATTCCCTTCGTAGGTCGAGGACAACGTGCTCGGAAGGTGTATATTGCTCTGTTCGTTTGCCTCGCCACTAAAGCGATCCACCTCGAGATGGTGGAAGATTACTCCACGCCCAGTTTTCTAGCCGCCTTTCATCGATTTGCCAGTCGGCGAGGATCACCTCGTCATCTCTATAGCGACAACGGCACCAATTTTCGTGGTGCCGACTCCGAACTTACGAGACACTTTGCCTCCGTTATCGGAGATCCTGATTTACAGAGCGCGATCGCCAATGACGGAGTGGCCTGGCACTTCATTCCCTCCGCTGCTCCGCACTTCGGCGGTCTTTGGGAGGCCGGGGTCAAGAGCTTCAAGACGCACTTGAAGCGAGCCGTTGGGTCTCATACTCTATCGCGGGCTGAACTCGCTACGCTTTTGTGCAAGATCGAAGCTTGCCTAAACTCGCGACCCATCGCTGCGCTCAGCGATGACCCGAGTGACGTGTCGGCGCTCACTCCGGGTCACTTCTTGATAGGACGGCCGCTTGTAGCCGTTCCGGAGGAATCGACACTTGCGATCGACGCGAGTAGACGCTCACGATGGCAGAACGTTCACGCCATGCTAGAGACAGTTTGGCGTGCTTGGTCGCAAGATTACTTGCATTCGATTCAACAACGCCATAAATGGCGCAAGCATATGCCAGACCTCGCGACGGGCGACTTAGTAATAATAAAAAACCCGCTGCTCCCTCCGAGTAAGTGGGACCTAGCGCGGGTGACGCAGACTCATCCGGGGTCTGACGGACACGTGCGGGTTGTCACCGTTCGTACCGCCCAGTCTACTTTGAAGCGACCAATCACGCAAGTCTGTCGACTTCCCGTCGATGATCATTTAGATAAGTCCAATACGTTGAGTAATGAAGTTTAATGTAATTTCGAGACGAATACCTTTGCGCGATTCGTCCTTGTTTGTATTCTTTCATGTAACAACCATTCTCCAAGGCTTGCTCTCATTCTTGATTACTAACTTATTTCGCATTTGTCCCGAATGCAAAGCGGGCGGTATGTTGAGAAATACGGTAATATATATTTTTTTTATTTTTCGGAGCAAACCGTTGAGAATGTTTGAATATCCTTTTCAAGGATGATTGTATCGCGGAATTTGAAAAACAGCGTGATAGCCTCGTGATCACTCGCGCCTAATTGGCCGAAGTATCTCGCCTTACTTTAAGGGATCCAATCACGATAACGTGCCCTACACATTTAAAGAAATTCTAATTAAAAAGTTGGTCTTTCTAAATAAAATTCACAAGACTATGTTAAAAATCACAAATCCATGATTCCATGTTTCTAAAATATTTTTTTACTGATAATACTTATTGTATCATTAATAATTTTATAGTAAAAAATATAATAATAAATGTTTAAGGAAAATATTTTTAAAAATCTTAATTATTTTGATATTTATTTATAGAAAATAAGTGATATACGCAAATTTATTTGAGTACTGGGTACTGTTCGCATACTGGGTCGATCCCCCCACACGCGACAATCCAATTACGCGACGGACAATTATTACGTGATGAGTATTATTCTCTCACATATATTGTACATTGCTCGACGTTCTCGCAAAAACGCAATTATACAACCACGAAGATAAACGCGACAAAAAGTGAGACGGCGCGACGACAATAAACCCCAGAGAGACGTAATTCGCGAAGATAACGACGACGCGTAAATACTCGCAAAGCTTCTCGCCGCTTGACCACGATCGCTCTCGCGAAATCACAAATTCGAAATTATTTCCAATGACGGGTTTTGTCCGTTCGCTAAAGAAATACACTAAATTATGCGATCGCGCCAGCACGGTCAAGGCTCGGAAGTACAAATTACGGACGTGTTATTTGCGTGATACTTAGGCAGAGTAGCCTCACCTGAAGAAGTCTTCCGACGTCCTCTAGGCCATGATGTAAAGACAAGGGTATGCTTATGCGCATGGTAACGTCAGCTAACCAATGAAAATTGCAGCCTGACTACGTCATCATTAGGTGTCAAATTCGAAGCGCTTATTCTTATGCTCTCCCACATAATACATAAAAAAATAAAAAATAAAACGCGCTAGTAATAATATTCTTTCGCGTCGCTAAGCCTAGGCTCTCTCTCTCTCTCTCTCTCTCTCTCTCTCTCTCTCTCTCTCTCTCTCTCTCTCTCTCTCTCTCTCTCCCCCTTCCTCCCTCCCTCCCTTCCTCCCTCTCTCCCAGACTACGATTATTCCGACTCTCCTTGCGCAAAAGAACTCTGCCCCTCTACCCCATGTCGATACTGAGCTACAGAGGTCAAGCCGTTGTGCGAGTTTGTTAATTATCGCGGTATTAATAAGTGGTACGGCCTGACCGTACCTGGCGCCCAATCTTTTATCGAAATTAACTATTGAGTGAAAGAAGAAGTGGCACAACAAAGTTGCGCGTCAGTTTCTCGCTCTCTCATAAGGAGAGAAAGGAGAGATGGTTGCAGTATTTAATTTAATAATATCTTGTTGTTATCTTTATGTATATGTCGTTAAAATTTTTCTTTTATTATTCACCGTAACGAAGAAAAAAAATATAAAAGATTATACACATTATGTATATTATCTAGGAGTCTGCAAAAGCTCAGAAAAATGAAAAAAACATTAAGTTTACGAACTTATATCACTTGTAATCATTAATCGTATGTACTTCTAATCATTAATCGTATGGCCAGTAATTATGACATAATCCGTTTACGTATTATTATTTTATTATTAATATATAATTATTATAAATTTTAAATTAGAAGTTATACCAATGGAAATGATATAAAAGTATATATATTTACTTATTTCTCTCTACTCTTTAAATTTAATGATCTTTGATTAATAACTTTTAATAAATATTTGATTCAAATCCTTTTACATTATTAAATGCTTGGGGAGCCGTATGAAAATAATTTGATAAGGGGCTCACATCATAAAAAAAATTAAGAACCGCTGATAGGACATACATTATCTTATTTATATGTATAAAGTAATATACACAATATGTATACGTTAAAGTACATTTTGTAATGTCTATATAATTGTGAATATAATTTTAAATGAAGAGTTTAACAAGGCTCTATATAAATATAAATTAACGTATAAGACAGGCAATAAAAGCCAAATCGCGGATGACAGTGCGTTATCCTAACTTAACTAAATTTTTTCGTTAGAATTAAATACCTGTGCACAAGGCACCAAATTTTACTTGGACTTATACGTTAATTTTTATTAATATATAATTTTATTTATACTTATGTAAAGAAGAATGTAAATAATAAATAGAGCTATATGAGTATTATGTTTATATAATTTCAAATTTTATTGTGATTATAATCTTATTATATTGCTTAAATTTATACTTACTAGAAGAAAATTGTTTATTAAACATTTATATTTATACGTATTTGAAATAAATATAACAGATTATATAATTATTAATCGTTTCTTAATTATTAAATATCATTTGTGTAATTTAAACATTACCCTTTCATAGCCAAGTATCACAGAACATCTTGTATGTACATCAATAAGAGTTTTCTTGGTTTTTCTCTCTCCTTTTTGTATTCAATAAATATTAAAATAATTTCTTTTTTTCAAAAAACTATATATTTATTATTCAATTATTCTGTTTAAAAATATGCTAATGTTTAAGCAGTAGACCATATCTTATTTTATATGCAATAACTTAGCATATATAAAAATAATTTTTCTCTACATTCAAGAAACAATTATCTAATCATTATCATTTTAGATGGAACTTTTCGTAATTGCTTTATTTCATATCATGGATATCATGGATAATTCGAAATTGAATGCTAATTTTATAAGTGAAAAAATACTACACACGATTATTTATTTTTAGCTGATTCTCTGTTGTCTGTTTTAGTTCTATTAATTTTACTTTTAATGGTTGAATATTGGTACCTAACCATTCTTCAATCATTGCCGAGAAAAAAGTCGCTTCCATTTGAACTCGTAGATAGCCCTCCAAGGAAGACAATTCTAATAATAACCTGAAACAAATATATGTATGGTACAATGTGCCAAGAAATTCACAAAGTATATTTTCATATAGGTAATTGATATGAAAATACTTACTCTGTAAAAGTAGGTATCAAATTCTCCAATTGCATGGAATTCGTGTAATTATTTGCCACTTGCCATGGATTCATCCACGTCATAATTCTATTGAAGATAATTGTTGAATATAATTAAAATCCATGAATATATTCTGTTTTTAAATCTCAAGTAGTTAAAACATAAAGTATTACATTTAAAAATAATAGTTATATATTAAAATAATTTTCAATATTGCACTGTTTCTAAATTAAATCGCATATATACAGGGTGTATAAGACCTACTGTATAACTTGTTAATGGCAGATTCCTAGAATTATTGGGAAACGATTTTTTTCCAGCGAAAATGTCGAGAAAGACCATCTTTTTTGCATGTTCTCAACTTTTATCATCATGTATCTGTAATTAAATCTTAAATTATAAATTATCTGAAATTAACTGAAGAATGTGATTTTTATTAATATTTTATTTCCAAAAGGCTCAATTTGTAAAAAATCTGTTCAATCGCTTATAACTCGAAAATTATTGATGGTTCGACATTTTCACTGAGGAAAAATTATCTCCAAATGATCTTAGGAATCTGCCATTAATTAGTTACGGTATGTCTGCAATATCCTATATAAATAACTAAAAATTATTTAAAAGTTTAAAAACAAAATTTTCAAAATTTTATATCAAACTGCTTTTATGCTTACTGATCGCTGACAACAATATTGTGAAATTTCGTCTTAAAATTAAGAAACCACTCCATACCCACAGCTATTTCCCATCCAGGAAAAAGCAAATTACTAGGTATTGGAATTGGTCTAGGTTGTGGTATTATATGCAATGGATGATCAATATATCCTAAGCTTTTTGCAACTTGTGCATGTGTTTCCTCTGAATAACCATAGAGCCAAACCTTTAGACATAAAGCTAATGATGGTATAGCTGTGGGCAACAATTCACACATCGTAGCATAATGATCATATCTACAAATATAATTGTGCTTATTAGCATGTTTTAAGATGGTGTGTAGTTATTATTGCGTATATATATTCTGATTTTCCTTACCTTGACCAGCCAGTAAATGCTGCACCTCGAAACTCATGTACCTTATTCACATGAATTGCTAATTCTTCTAACCATTTTTCATGATTACTTATATGATGTCGAATTACAGGTATATGTTGTGTGGAACCAGTAGCCCCTTTGAATGCAGTTGCTATCCAGATATTGGGAAAGACTGTGCTGTATTTATCCCATAGTCCTAAATAATTTAATGCAATAATTATAATCCAGCAAATATTTATATATTTAAGAGTTTTTTTAAAATATTAGAAAATAGAAAAAATACCAATAGGCAATGCAAAATTATCTCTGGGATTGTAATGCCATACCATGGGTTCTACATATTTTCCAATGTAATGTTCTGTAAAAAAAAAAAAAAAAAAGATTAGTTTTACGCAAAAAAATTTGATTAAATAATTCAAACAAGCTATCAAAATACCATTCAAAATCTGTAAATCTATTGATCTTAACATATCATCCCAAATGATAATCTTTAAATATGGATAAGTTTCTTGAATATATTGAGCTATTGCCAAAATATGTTCCAAGTACAATGCAGATTTGCCATATTTACTGGCTGCAGCTCGTTTAGTGCAAACTGAACAAAGGCCTAAGTGCCATACTTCATCAGAACCTATATGTAAATATTGTATGTCAGGATGCAAATTAACAATCTGACGTATTAATGATTTGACCAGTGGGAGAGTTCTCGGATTTGATGGACAGATGGAACTTGGAAAAGCTTCTACTTCCCGCAATGATCTCCATTCATCGTGTTTCAGAATAAACTGCAATTTAAATTGTAATATTTAAGTGGATAATAAGGTACATGAAATCTACAAAACAATAGTTTTTGAATTATGATCTTCAAAAGAAAATATATAGAAATATATAGAAATTTTTTGTAATTATATGTAATAATTCATTTTATACAAAATAAATAAGAGGTATTTTTTTACATACCTCCATATGACCAAAAGTTTGTACCAATGGAACAACTGCCAAGCCACAATCACCTGCTATTTGCAGGATGTGTCCAGCTTCTTGAACTGAATATCCACTTGCTAAGCTGCTTGGTCCGTTGCTTCCTATTGGTGAGAGTTCTCGATTGTAAGGAAATGTATCTTCCCATTCCAACAATAATCCAGTAGCTCCCCATGTTCGCAGTAATGGAAAGAGCTGTAAATATTCTATTGGATCATAAGAATAAAATAAGAGTGTAAACAAAAACAAGTTATAATTGTTGATAATTATATATCTGTTAAATATCATGACTATAATACAAGATATATCAGTTAATCTAAAGATATAATTTCTGAATGTACCTATTTGCATTTCTGTACTATTAGTATATAAATAAATCAATATTCTATAAAAAAATTAAAGTTGAACATAACCCATAATTAAAAAATGAGTTATTAAAATGTCTCCATCAATCAAATGATAAAACAGTATTGGTGCAGAGTATTTCTCTATATTTATTGTAAATTGTTTTCTTAAAATCAAAATATAAAGTACTAAAATGCTGGAATAAGGTTTTGAAATGTTTATAACGTATACCTTTTCAAAGTAACAAGTCCGTAATGGTGCGCCCTTTAAATCAAGATGAACCAATCTTAAAAAAGAAGAAACGTGTTGAAATTTTATTTATTATAAGATATATATAAAAAGTTATACGCGTAATCAATTACTTTACCTATGTGAGCCTAATGTTAAGGTGTCCATCTTTTTTTCCATTCCATTTAAGCCTGCTTTATAATTGCGTAAACGTAGGTGTAAGTGATTGTACGGTATCGTAAAAAGTCCACGGTCTGACCGTGGTAAAGTTCTTCTGTTTTTTAATCCTTTGTGACCCAGTCGCAGATTCGACTTTCGGCCATCAGCGAGTTGGGTATATTAATTAATATTTATTTTATCTGTATATTCGACAGAAACAAAAACATTTTTTTGAGACTAAACACGTCTGAAGACGTCAAAAGACGCTAACGAACTTTTTTGAGTAGAGTCCTAAATCATCAGAGGCGCAATCGGTACTCCCTCTACGCTTTCTATGATCATGGTGGCTCCCCATGACTAGGCCATAAGCGGGAAGCACACACTTTTGCATAGGCGCATAAGCGTAAGCATGAGAATCTTGATTGGTCTATAAACGTATGCATAAGAAATTCAACCAATCGAATTTCTTATGCATATGCTTATGCGCTTATGCAGAGTGTGTGCTCCCCGCTTAAGACTATGGGTGCATTCGTTTATGCAGCGATTAGCGCATCCACTGCGCATCTACTGCGTCTATTATCTGCGAGTCACGTGACATCATTTACCGAACGATCACCTGCGTGAATTGACTGCTCAGATTGTAATTGGAGTGCGTAAGTAAAGAAATTTTAAATAAATATGAATTAACTCAGAAATAAATATTTTTTATTGGCTCTCAATATAAACAATATAAATATGATGGTTTCTAAATTGGCCTAAGAGCCATAGCACGAAAAATTACGAAATTAATTATTCGGAACTGTATTTCTTGGTACGAGATTACTAAAGTTCCATATATTAATTAACCTCGAACTTACATATGGAGAAATAGGCGCGAAAAATATAGGTCCGAAAAGTCGCTGAAGCGGGAATCAAACCCGCGTCTTTCACTTTCCGGGCGACTGCTCTTACCACTAAGCTATTCAGACTTTTTGGATCTATATTTTTCGTGCCTATTTCTCCATATGTAAGTTCAGAGGTTAATTAATATATGGAACTTTAGTAATCTCGTACCAAGAGATACAGTTCCGAATAATTAATTTTCGTAATTTTTCGTGCTATAAATCTTAGGCCGATTTAGAAACCATCATATTTATATTAAATATGAATTATTATTTGAAAAAATTATACAAGTAATAATTTGTCAAATTTAAGATTATAAGGTGCGTTAAATATGAAGATTGTTAATTTTGTTATTAATTATATTAGTTGGGGTAGCTTTTTTAACTTTATTGGAACGAAAAATTTTAAGATATGTACAAATTCGTAAAGAACCTAATAAGGTGGGATTTATAAGATTATTTCAATCTTTTAGTGATGCTATTAAATTACTTAATAAAGAATTATTTTATGTATATAAATCTAATTATAATTTTTTATGTCCTATAATTAGATTTGTTTTAATAATAATATGATTAGTATTTCCTTACATTACTAATATTTATTTTTTAAATTATTCTATTTTATTAATAATTGTTTTATAACTATTAGAGGGTATGTTATAATTTTTATGGGATGATCAGCTAATTCGATTTATTCAAAAATAGGGGCAATACGATCAGTTTCACAAATATTATCATTTAAAGTAAGATTTATTTTAATTGTTTTAGTTATTATATTAATAAGAGAGAGATATTCTTTTTTTGATTTTATTAATTATCAATTTTATTTATGATATATAGTAGTTTTATATCCTTTGTTTATTATATTTTTTATTAGGATTTTAGCTGAATTAAATCGAAGTCCTATAGATTTTATCGAAGGTGAGTCAGAATTAGTTTCAGGGTTTAATATTGAATATTTTAGGGGTGGGTTTACATTAATTTTTTTATCTGAATATCGAATAATTATTTTTTTTAGATTAATTAGAATTTATATATTTAGAAATTTATTAAAATATTCAATAATTTTAACTTTTATTTTAATTAATATTTTATGTAGAATAGTAATTTTTATACATGGAATACTTCCTCGAATACGATATGATGAATTAATATATTTATGTTGGAAAATTATTTTACCAATAATTTTAGTTTATATTTTATTAATTTTTGGATTTAAATTTATATTATAAATAATAATTTAGTAAAAAAAATTAAATGTTTAAAAGTTAATAAAAAATTAAAATTTCTTTAATATGTTTTCAAAACATAAACTTAAATTCAAGATCATTACCTTAATTTAATAGTAATTTATAAAAAATTTAAGTATTAAATATAATTATTTTAATATTTTAAATTTATTTATAATGATAAATTTTTTAATATTTATTTAAAAATAATTAAATCTCAAATTTTTATTAGGAAAGGTAATAAGATAAAATAAAGAAAGTAACATAATGATAAAATTTGTCTAATAATGATAAAAGGTATTTCAATAGGTTGAGCTCCTGCTCATGTTAATAGAATAAAAATATTAATGAAAATTCAAAATAAATATTGATTTAAAGGATAAAATGATAATGAATTAAATTTTATAGAAATTAGAGGTAAAAAGTATAAGATAATAATTGATGATAATAATGCAATTACACCTCTTAATTTGTTAGGGATAGATCGGAGGATAGCATAAGCATATAGAAAATATCACTCAGGTTTAATATGAATTGAAAATGTATTTTATAAATAAATGAAATATTATATATATATATATAAATATAAGTTTATATATATATATATATATATATATATATATATATATATATATATATATACACAGATATGACAACCGTTATCTTGATTTTTTCCGATTATTGATGTTACATTGCGTATAACTCTCATTTCTTTCTCTCTGCTACATAAGTACTTATGACGTGAAAAAACTTACGAGTAACGTATGATGGCTCAATGCAAGAATATTTAATCACGTAAAAAACTTGAGTTCAAATATATTAATATCAATTTTTTTATAATATATTGAAATATAGAAAATCATAGAAATATATTTTTATATAGGCGATAAACTTAAAAATTTGATATTGAAAATATTTTAATTATTTTACAACTACACACACTATAAATATATAAATGCAAAATAATTCCGTAAATAAATTTCAAGTAATAAATCAATTGCACACATGCACACAGCTGGTATGTAGATTTTTATTAAATTTATTTTCTGAATTATTTTACACTTATATATAGTGTATGTAGTAAAAATATTTTCAATATATTAAAAAATTTTTAAATCGCCGAAATATATCTTTTATCAATTTTCTATATTCCAATATATATATATATATATATATATATATATATATATATATATTATAAAAAAATTAATATTGATATATTTGAACTCTAATTTACTGGATGATATATACTGAACATCCTTGCATTGATTATACATTACTCAACGTTCTTTCACGTTATAAGTATTTGGAGCAAATTATACAATAGCATCAATAATCAAAAAGAAATCAAGAATAATCAACATATTCCTTATATAATATATACATATATATGTATATATATATATATATATATATATATATATATATATATACGCACATATGTGCATAAGCATATATAAAATTTACAAAAAGTAGGTACTTATTAGCCTTGCTACGCTACTGCCTTCTGCTACGGAAGGCCATTTTCAGGCGGCATCTCGCGTATACCGGCACGGTAGAGGAACAAGGAGAACACGTGATTATCGGTCCTTGTCTCTCTACGGTGCGTTCGCGTGAGCAATGCAATGGTGTATGTACGTGTACAGACATGCACCACTACATAAAACCTGAGAATTGGTTTCTCGGCGTTGGCAACACTGAAATCGGAGTTTCGCGTTGTCACCGCGCGAGGTCTCCAACATCAATTCAGAGTTTGGCTGACCGACCTGTCGACCCTTAAATTAACAACATTGAAGACATTGAAGAAAGAATTGTAAAATTTTTTTTTATTCTCTCTTTCTCTCTCTTTCTCGCGACGGATATCAAAAAAAGCAGATGTATTTTTGTATTATCTGGTCACCAATCGAAAATTTGTCTACTAAAAATGAGACAATATTAAGGGTCGACAGGTCGGCCGGCCAAACTCCGAATTGATGTTGGAGACCTCGCGCGGTGACAACGCGAAACTCCGATTTCAGTGTTGCCAACGCCGAGAAACCAATTCTCGGGTTTTATGTAGTGGTGCATGTCTGTACACGTACATACACCATTGCATTGCTCACGCGGACGCACCGTAGAGAGACAAGGACCGATAATTACGTGTTCTCCTTGTTCCTCTATCGTGCCGGTATTCGCGAGATACGGCCTGAAAATGCTTTCTGGCCTTCCGTAGCAGAAGGCAGTAGCGTAGCAAGGCTAATAAGTACCTACTTTTTGTAAATTTTATATATGCTTATGCACATATGTGCGTATATATATATATATATATATATATATATATATATATATATATATATATATATATATATATATATATATATATATATATATATATATAAGGATATGTTGATTATTCTTGATTTCTTTTTGATTATTGATGCTATTGTATCATTTGCTCCAAATACTTATAACGTGAAAGAACGTTGAGTAATGTATAATCAATGCAAGGATGTTCAGTATATCATCCAGTAAATTAGAGTTCAAATATTTCAATATCAATTTTTTTATAATATATATATATATATATATATATATATATATATATATTAAAATATAGAAAAATGATAAAAAAATATATTTCGGCGATTTAAAAATTTTTTAATATATTGAAAATATTTTTACTACATACACTATATATATAAGTGTAAAATAATTCAGAAAATAAATTTAAAAATAAATTTAATAAAAATCTACATACCAGCTGTGTGCATGTGTGCAATTGATTTATTACTTGAAATTTATTTACGGAATTATTTTGCATTTATATATTTATAGTGTGTGTAGTTGTAAAATATGATTAAAATATTTTCAATATCAAATTTTTAAGTTTATCGCCTATATACAAATATATTTCTATGATTTTTCATATTCCAATATATTATAAAAAAATTGATATTGATATATTTGAACTCAAGTTTTTTACGTGATTAAATATTCTTGCATTGAGCCATCATACGTTACTCGTAAGTTCTTTCACGTCATAAGTTATTATGTAGCAGAGAGAAAGAAATGAGAGTTATA